TCAAAAGATCTCTGGGAGCATTGCCAACTAGTACCTGGTTGTGAAAGGCTGAGGAAGAGAATTGTATGAGAATCAGATTGTATAATTATGTGGCATTACTTGCATTTAGCATAATGTAAGCCTGACTTAACTTCTTTATGTTCCTCTTCAAGAGCTCATCTCTGGCTATAGAGGGAGCTTTGTGGGGGGTGACCCTCAGAGAGCATGAGTTAGGTTTTTGTGGTGTGTTTTTCACCTTCCCAAGGTGATGGTTGGTTACAGTCATTTTGCTCTGTTTTTGTAATAACTTGCAGCGTGAAAAGTATTGTATCCACTAATTTTTAAGAAAGGCAGGGGTTTTCTGTTTTGAGTTAGGAGTGGGTCATGTAAATACTGTGCACATCCCAGTGCTTCAGCACTTTAAAAATATTTCGTTCATTTGTCTTTGTAGATTAATTTATGCTGCTAGATTTGATAGAGCACCACGTAAATCCACTGTTCCTTACATTCATGATAAATGAGATTTTTTGGGGGGGGAAGAGAGAGTAATAATTTTGTTGTTCAGCATAACTATAATCTCTTGAGCATTAGAACCTTGTTAATTGTCATGCAGCTAATCCTCAGATAATCACTTAAATAGAATGATGTCACAACTTAAATAACTGCTTAGGTGCAAATAATTTTAACTTGCTCCGTTTTGGCCTGTGAAATGTACCTAAAATCCAAATGCACAGACAACTGGAAATTGTTTAGCAGCTTTTCATTGTCTTCAAAAATACAATTTCCCAATGAAGAACAAAAAGGGCAAATATTTTTTTAAGTACTGAAGCTGAGAATTCTAGAAAAATCTGAAATGAAGTTTGGAAAGGGGTGACTATGGCCAAGAATGAAAAAGAAGAAACACAAACCCACTAATGCTTAATGACAGCACAGAGCTATTAGAATGTTCAATAGAGGAAAAAGAGTTCAGTAAATATTTTTGTTCTGTGCTTGGGAAAAAGGCAGATATGATGTTCACATTATAGGATGTACAATAACACACTCAGTTTTCAGTGATCGAGGAGAAGGTTAAACAGTAGTTAAATTTGGCATTCTTAAATCAGAGGTCTGGATAACATATCCATGATCTCTGAAAGAGCAGGCCAGAGAATTATGGGTTTTCTTTCATACTGTTTTTTATATAGTTCTTGGAAAACAGAGAAAGTTCCAGAGGACGTGAAAAGCACTGTGGAAGTACTTTCTGAGAAATAAACATAATTTTCAGTCTGTCCTTAGGCTGAAGCAAAATGCTAAAATTATTGAGATGATTAATAAGTGTGAAGGATAGTTATTTATGATAATGAGTCCTGGTTCTCAAAAAGTAATTTTTATCATGTTAACTCTGGTATTTTTTATGCGGTTGAGAGTTTGTATAATAAAAAAAAGTTAAGATTAATATGGCTGTGTAACACAGTTGGCTTTAAATTTGTGTGGTCTCTATTTTTAGCCAATTAGGGTGTGATAAAGTCAATACAGTACCTAAGATGTGTATAGCAACCAACTGATAAGTTTCGTGTGACTGTGAATGTTTCAGTGATACATGGATCAATTGGGATCAATTTTTGGTCTTTGTTTATTTAGTTTTTGATAGTGATGCAGGGCTCTGACAGGGGAGTCTTTAAGGTCAGAGCAGCTGGAGTCCATCTTCCCATGGGGCAGGGATGTCCCAACTGCCTAGCAAGCAACTGGGTTGTTAATGCAGTGAAAATAGTAAACTCAAGTGAAGAAGTGTGGTAGATAAATGAAGGCATCGTCTTGGGCTAAGCCATCAGTTTCTATTTGTGAAGAAGTCCCTAGATAATGTTAAATTATTTGTATTAGTATTTGCTAAAAGCATAGACTAGGGAAGGGGGGGTGCTATACAATTAAGTGGACAGGTGACTGTTGTGATGCAAACTGTGTGACGGGCTGCTTCTGGTTAACTGTGTGTTCTGGTACAGCCAGAGGGGAAGTTGTTTTCAAGGGCTGAGGGATGTAAACTGCTTTTAGAAGGTGTGGGGTTGTATCCTAGAAAGCAGTATAATCGGGGGGAAAAGGAGTGTTTTAATGAGTCTGGTGATTAAATATTCAAGCTATTCCTTAATTACATGAAATCCAGGCTCCTGCTTAATCCGTAGTGCTTGGTGTCATAAGCATGGCAGTTTGAGTTTGATCCTCAGAATAAAGCAGGTGCATGATTGTTGCTTCTTTTACCTACCAAACAAATTACTGTGGGCTGAGAGCTGCAGCTTTGGCTTAGGACAATACTGCACATCAGTGTGTTCCTCTGTCTTCACCTTCCTGAGGCTGGCTGACAGCTGCTCTTCTTGCCTTCTCTTCCCACTCTGCAGGAATGAAGGATGTTCTTCTGCCTGCATAGTCTATGAAAAGCCAGTTCCGTCTGGAAAGTCAGTATAAATGAATAAACCTTGTCCTTGTCTTCATTCCTCCATCATGGAGTTGTAGGTGACTGTTTGGGCATCCAGTGGTCTAAATCAGTCTTGTTTTTTCTCAAGCATGTAATCTGTTACCAGTATGAAATCCTCTCACAAAAAAATATGCTCTTGAAACAGAGATGTGTGTTTTTCCTTACAGTTACTGTGGTCAAAAAGGGTCTTTCACTTTCCTTGCACTGGCCATAGTTCTGTATTTCCAGAGTTGGGAGAGGCTGGCAGTGGATACTCACACCACTATATTTCAGGTGCTGGTAACAAATCTTTTTAGTACTTCTGTGGTGTTTTTCTCATACTGATTGCTCTGTGTTTTGCACTCTTTTATCAATTGCAGCATTATTCTTTAATAGCTCTCTTGCATGTTTATTAAGTTATTCTGATTCATGGAGAAGAATAGTGCAAAACTGGTTTGTTAAAGGCAACTTAAATTATTATGCCCATCTGTTTTCTGTGCAACTTGAATTATGGGCATTTTTCTGTCTCAGCTGTGCTTTTCTTGGCCCCTTTCCTTTCTTGGAATTTCCACACAGGGTTTTAGTAACTTACAGGAAACTGTGGTGTACATTGGATAGTATCAGTTTCAAGTGCTAGGTTTATGAGGTATCTCTGTTCATCTGATCTTTTTCTCTGTACAGTCTGCTTGCTTCTGTG